CAATTGCGACTTTTTTATCTCACAATTCTGACTTTTTTTCACAGAATTGTGAGATATATACTCGCAATTGCGAGTTAAAAAGTCAGAATTGCATGATATAAACTCGCAATTGCGAATTAGTCCAATTTTGAGGGGGGAAAAAGGACTATGTTCTCAGAATTGCGAGTTTATATCTCAAAATTCTGACTTTTTTTCTCGCAATTGCTAGTTTATATCTCGTTTATAACTCACAATTGCGTGTTATAAAGTCAGAATTGCGTGACATAAACTCGCAATTCGGAGAAAAAAAGTCAGAATTGTGTTTATATCTCACAGTTCTGACTTTATATCTCACAATTATGACTTTTTAGCTCGTAATTGTGAGTTTATATCACGCAATTCTGAGAAAAAAAGTCAGAATTGTGAGATAAAAAGTAGCAATTACCTTTTTTATTTTTTATTCAGTGGCGAAAACGGGCTTCCATACATAGACGCTTTAAGAAGCAGGGGGAAAATAATATAGAACAATAAATGTTCTACTTAATTTAACAGTTCAGTTCTAAATTCTGTAATCAAGTACTCACCTTCATGTTGTTCCAAACCCTTTAAGACTTTCGTTCATCTTTGAAACCAAAACTGAGATATTTTAATGAAATCTGACAGATTTATGTCCTTCTGCTGAAAGACACCAAAACACGTTTCAAAAAGTTCATCACAGACAAAAACATCGCAAAAATAATCAATATAAATCAAGTGGTTTCTTCCAAGTCCTCTGAAGAGACATGATCACTCTATGTGACTTAACAGCTTTAATTTAGACTTTTATTCACATCCATCGACGCACATACACACGCACAGTAGAACTGGTAAACGGAAGCTCAGACGTGCTTGTCTGGGGCTCGAGAACCAATCAGGTTTTCTAACACATGTTAAGCAAATACGCCTGAGCTTCCACAAAAGCCAATGAGGTTTGTTTTCGCGCATCACGTGGTAGGTTGAGCTTGTTTGAACTTAGGCACATAAACAAGTAAATAAATAGGGATTTTAAGCATATCTTTGGAAAAATGATTTATGATGCACTTCAAATAATACAATGTTGAAATGCTTGTGGAAAATACAGTTAAATATGAGCCTATTACAAGTAATGTATCATGATATGTATTTAAAAGTGAAATTAAAATATATTCGAATTGTATTACAAAATAGCCTAGTATTCTTTTACGAGTACAAACAAGTAAAACCGAGCAACATTTAACATGCTTATTACCAAGGTATAGTTGACAAAATTATACATTTATTTATAACAATTAATAATTATAAATTTAACACAATGTAAGAATGCATTTGAATATTTTATATCTATAATGTATTCATGTGTGAGTGAATTAATATACTTTATGTAATATATTAAAATGTTAAAAATGTTTTTCAAGACATCTTCCTTTTGAAAAGCAGGCTGAAGCACATTCAATACATAAATATTTAAAATATATTGCAGTAGGTCTACATACTGTATGGTTTATAAATTAGATACATATACTTTAAACCCACTAAACGCTGAATCATTTTACTATGTTCTTTCACATACAGTAACCATAAAAATACTTTAAATAAAAGTAAAATAAGTTGATTTCTGTAAATTCACTAAAATGTCACAAAAGTATGCTTGTGTTTGATCATATTTCTTAAAAACGTAACTAAGCATATATTTATTACTAAAGAACTTCTAGTATACTTTTAAAAAATATATTAAAATGCAATTCAATACATTTTAATGCACTTAAAGTAAGCATGTTAGAAGTACAACTGTACTGTAAATATTATTTATAGTACAAATATACTAACTGTACTATATAAATATCTGAATTTCACAATTTTTAGTACATTTAAGAGTACTTCTTTTTCACCTGGGAAATGAAAGTGTCCATGATAAAGAGACAGAAAAACCTAAAACACACATCATGTTCTTAGAAATATCATCTTTCTACTGATGTTGGTTTTATAAAACATGCATACCATTTTGAAGGAAATTTTAAATTTAGGAATCTAAAATACCATGGAGTGTCATAAGTAATACTTCATTACTACTTTTCATTATACCTTGTGAGTGTATACATCTTAATAATTATTTTTTAAAAACTGCAGTTTTTCTAAGAAATAAGAATAAAAGATTCTGTCAAACTACTTACTATGGTTTTCTTTTTATAATTAGGCTTGTTTCTTCATTATGATATCAGGACAGTTTAGTTAGATAGTTGACTTTATGTCCCTGTCCCTATCCAAAATAAAATGGAATACAGGAATGATGAAAAACATGAAATCATGAAATATGTGTAATCAAGTCATTGTACTATTGAAAGTTTGACCTCTTCTGACCGAATGTTTTTCATTAAAACAGTAATATTAGTAAACAAATAGTAATAGGTGTTTACTAATATTACTATTTGTTTACTAATATTACTGTTTTAATGAAAAACATTAAAACAGTAATATTAGTAAACAAATAGTAATATTTTAAAATAAATGTTCTCTATTTGAATATATTTTAAAATGTAATTTATTCCTGTGATGCAAAGCTGAATTTTCAGCATCTTTAGTGTCACATGATCCTTCAGAAATCATTCTAATATGCTGATTTGCTGCTCATGAAACATTTCTTGAACATGATCAAAACACTTTTTGATACAGTGATACCATTTTTTAGGATTATTTGATGAATAGAAAGTTTAAAGGAATTTATTTGAAATCTTTTGTAACATAATACATGTCTTTTCTGACACATTTGATCAATTTAATGGGTCCTTGCTGAACAAAAGTATAAATTTCTTTCAAAGGAAAAAAATAAATAAATACTACTCTACTGACCCCCAACTTTTGAATGGTAATACTGTATGTGTATGAATTACACTTGCATTTTTTTTTTTAAATGCATTTTTTAATAAATAAATACATTGGGGAAAAAAGCATCCTAAAATATGCAAACGATTAATAAATGTAAATTTTTTGGTGACCTTCCTTTAAATCAGGGGTCTCCAAACTCGGTCCTGGAGGGCCGGTGTCCTGCAGAGTTGAGCTCCAACTTGCCCCAACACACAACAAGTTTCCAGCATGCCTAGTAAGACCTTAATTAGCAAGTTCAGGTGTGTTTAATTAGGGTTGGAGCTAAACTCTGCAGGACACCGGCACTCCAGGACCGAGTTTGGAGACCCCTGATTTAAATGATGGGATTTTTTTTGATGATCATGGTAACAGAGTTTCAAACCTTCAGAATGATGGGACAGGATGAGAAGGTTGACGCATGAGGCTCCAGCCCCAGAGCCAAATATGGTGATTCTCTCTGGGTCTCCTCCGAAGTGTCTGATGTTCTCGTTGAGCCATCGCAGAGCCTGAATCTGGTCCAGTAGCCCATAATTCCCCTTCGCTGACTGATCTCCAGTGCTCAGAAAACCTACGGAGAGTGAGAGAGTTAGACTGGAGATAAGATAACAGACAATGTGGACCAAAGGTATAAAAGACCATGATCAATACATGTTGACCAAGATCAAGCACTCTGAGGCCAAGAAGAGCAAAGTGCATTGGTAAACTGAAAGAATGAAGTAAGGTAGAGGACTAAAGCATTAATTAGTCATGTTCATTTGGAACTTCCTGTTACCATTTGGAATGATTCCTATTAATGTTCACAATTGACTTGAACTGGTCATGAATTATATAGGCTGATATGACTTATACAACACATGAATGTCATGATTTAAGACATTTTTTTCTCACTAGATTGGAGTATGTTTTAGCATTTTAATCAATGCATAACAAAAAGTAGTAGTAGTACATTAGTAGTACAATAGTATATTAGAGTTTTTGAAAAAATCTGCGAAAGTGAATAATTCAGTGACTGAATTCTTTGGTCTACACGAACATGACTCTGAGTCACTCAGTGAATACAGTATGCCTTCAATTACAGTACTATGAAATCTTTAGCAGAACTTATTATTTAAATGTCAAGATTTAAGACACTTTGTACTCATGAGACTGGAGTAAGATTTTTCGTAAATTTGACCATGTTCATGAATACATAATGAGAAATAATAGGCATTATTCATTGTATACTGCACATTAGACATTAAGCAGTACATTCGTTTTAGTTAATTAATCTTTTACGTGAATGATTTAATGACTGAATCCATCTGGCCAAGATGAACATGACTCTGAGTCATTCACTGGTCGCCAGCTGGGTATGTAACCTACAGGAACAGTGACAGAGCAAATGAACAAATGAATCAAAACTGATTCAAAAGACCAAATTATTCCATTGCTAGTTCAAAAATCTATTTATAATCACTCAAAAACATATGTATCTTTAATTACAGTACAGTGAAAGCTTTAGCAGAACATATTATTTGAATGTCAATATTTAAAACACTAAGATGGGTAAAATTGATTGTAAAATGTATCATGTTTATCAATGCATAATGAAAAAATAGTAGACATTATACAATGTATACTGCACATTAGACATGAAACAGTACATATTTTTTGAAACTTTTAATTGAATCATTCAGTGAACGAATCCTTTGGTCTAAATGAACATGACTCTGAGTTACTCGAGTTGATGCCTACAGTAACGGTGACTGAACAAATGAATGAACAAATCAGAACCGATTCAAATTATTCTATTGCTAGTTCACAAATCTATGACTCAAAAACATATGTGTCTTCAGTTACAGTATAACAGAACATTATTTGAATGTCAGTATTTAAAATACTTTTTTCTCTCTTAGGATTGAAGTACATTTATTTGTAAAATTTAGCATGTTTATCAATGCATAATGAAAATATTATTTAGTGTATACGGCACATTATACGCAAGCAGTATGTTTTAAAAAATATATATTTTATGTGAGTGATTCAGTGCTACAAGTCACTGCAGGTGACTTATACAGCTTACAGGAACAGTGATTGAACAAGTGAATGAATGAATCAAACTGATTCAAAAGATTCAAATCATTCCATCCCTAGTTCATAAATCTAGTTATAATCGCTCAAAAACATAAGTGTCTTCACACTTGTCAATCACAGTAGCTTAGGCAGAACACATTTTCTTCTGCAACACTCAGAACCGTGAACATCAGGGGTGCTGGGGTGGGTTTGATGCATTAACTGTTATCATAGCTTATTATCATCTTGTCAAGCCCATCTTTATGACGGGTCTTGCCGATTAGCCAGTTTAGACATTTGGACCGTTGTTCTCTGGGTAGAAAAAGCTTAAGTGACCACATCCACACACATACTTCAAAACAGTAGGCCCGTATACCATTATGGACATCTACGAATAATGCATGCTACCGCTTATTAAAATGGGGTGTGTGAGGCTCTGGAGTCACAGTGTTAATGAGAACTAAAGAGCTTATGTAAGACCGTCTGTTTTACTATTCTAACTGAACTGGTGATGCACTGAAAACATGAAAATGTGGCGAGAAAAAAGGGGAATTTCAAACATATTTCACATGTCTAAGAAACCACTCTTCACACTGTGAAAGATAGGCTTCCTCTGGAATATTAAAAGAAATGGGGAAAAGACATGAGGGGAAAAAGAGATAAAAATAGACCCGCACTTAAAAGCTATGTGCCCTCAGACCCAATAAAAGACTCAGTGAGTGTGACTGTGTGTGCGTGTGTGTTTTAGAGAAAGAGAGCATGTCAAAGAAACTAAGAGGGATGAGTAGGGAAAAAGACAAACTGCCATGTTGTTTTCAGGAGTCAGGCCTGCGAGGAAGATGACAAGTGACAACATATGGCACATCATATTGCAAACAACACACAATAGGAAAACAGATCACACACTCGGCACCTCTACATGTAAAATGCTCTACTAGTGTGTCATAGATGGCGGGATACACAGAAATAGAGCTCTTTGAAAATGTTCGTTACAGATGTTAAAAAAAGCCTTTGACGTCTAAAACTCCCACAGGCCGATAATGACTTTGTTATAAAGGATACTGCTGCATCTGCTACATTCATTTACATGCTGTGCAAAACAGTAGTGTGTATTCACGGCCGACGACATCATTATCCTAAACCGTGCAATCGTTTCCATGACAAAATAAAACATTAGCAGTGATTAGCTTCAATATATTTTAAATAAATATAGCCTAGATCAGTGTTTCCCAACCGGGGTGCCGCGGCACCCTGGGGTGCCGTCTGTCAAGAGCAGGGGTGCCGTGTAAAAAAATAATTTTTTAATAGTTTTAAATTGCTAAAATGTTCAAAAAAGCATCTATTATATAATATCCATTTCTGATGTTGCCAATAATTAGAGATGCACCGAAATTTTGGCTGCCGAAAATTAGTTAACCGCTCAGGTTTCACTTTCACGTGGTGTGACACTCTGCGTATTATCCGCTCTATGTGTGTGCGCTCCGCTCAGTCGCTCCACTCGTATACCGTTCATGCTCATCGGAACAGCAAAGTCCACTCAAAAATTGAGCCGACAGGAAACATCTATGTAGTACAGTATTGTTTCTGTCTGCAATAGCCCTACTGTGTTGTAACATGGTGTGGTATATGGGCATCTCTGGTAACACTGCCCTCTCATTCATTGATCTGCTAACAATTTCCAAAGGGTGCCGCGACTAAAGAAAGGTTGGGAAACACTGGCCTAGATTGTTTTGCATCTTTTCCTTGAAATCACCTAAACTACTGTTCAAAGGTTTGGGGTCTGTATCATTTTTTTTTAACCCTCTGAATGAATAATATTATTCATATTATTGAATTTATATGATTAAATATGGAATCATTAATTCATATTATTAGATATGGAATCCTTATTTTGTGTAAACCATTAAGATCATCAATGTTGCTACTGGTAACTAAAACTATTAAAATGTTTGTTTTTTTTTTCATTCGCTTTGGTACTATTTTCACAAGCAACTGTTAATTTTTCAAAACTCTTAGTATCACAACAGATCATCAAAAGTGCACATTTTCAAACATTTCAGCATATTTTCAATTGTCTTAGTACAATACACACAATCACAAAGTATCCTTTTCACTACATAAAATAAGTGTTTCATCTTTATAAATGTTTCATTCACAGCAACTTCAGTCTTTCATAAAGCTTTTACATTTACATTTATTCATTTGGCAGACACTTTTATCCAAAGCGACTTACAGTTGAGGAATACTGTTCAAAATATTAAAAAGCTAGGACAGGAGAATAATAAGAGAACAGAAAAAGTGAAGGCATAGAATTTTTATTTTTATTATTATTATTATTATTGGAGGCGGTTAGATGCTCACAGAAGAGATGAGTTTTCAGTTGTTTCTTGAAGATAGTGAGGGATTCGGCTGTTCGGATGGTCATTCCACCAACAGGGTATGGTGAAAGAAAACATCCTCGAGAGTGATTTTGTGCCTCTCTGCGATGGGATCACGAGCCGCCGTTCATTTACCGGCCACAGGCTTCTGGAGGGGGTGATGCATAGGAGGAAGCGGAGGTATGAGGTCTTACTATCAAACTTTTCATTTGCATGTCTTCTCATTCAGTTTAATACATTATTTAATCTAACTCATCATAATGGTTAATCAGTGAATCATTTGGTGCATGTATAGATATCTATAGATATAGATTCAATAGATAAAGTTTTTAAAGAACTTGCTTGCAATTTACAGATAATCAAATGTAATGAATTATTTTGACACTATAAGTGATTTCTCTTAGATAATAACCACTATTTTGTAAGTGTGTGTGTGTGGTTCAGGTAAACCCTAAGATGGCAATCTTTGAAATCCTTTTTGTTAAGTTTTAGGTGTAGGAGTAGGGTTAGTGTAGGGGGATATAATATACAGTTTGTACAGTATAAAACCCATTACGCCTATGGAATGTCACCATAATGATAGAAATACCAGTGTGTGTTTGTGTGTGTATCTATGTAACCATATTTTGGGGACAAATTGGTACCCATAAGCTAGCAAAACTTGACAAAATTGCCAAAAACCTCCCTTTGATGATTTGATCCTCATTTGTAAAACTGTGTGTTTTGAAATTTGTGAACGTATAGCAGGATACAAGGGAGAGGAACTGATCAGAGATGTATCAGAAGAAGGGAGACAAATGGCATCAAATACGCAAGTTACATTACATTATGCCATGTGATACTTTATATAGAACCATTACCATGGTAGAGACTGCACACTACTATAACTCACCTTTCATTTTAAAAGAATGACTAGTGATGCTATAAGTGTGATCAGTTTGGATTTTTGTTCTAAGAGTTTTGAAAATATACACTTACTTGTGAAAATAGTACCAAAGCGAATAATTTTTTATTTTTTTTTCTGTAATAGAAATGAAAAGATAAAAATAAAAGATTCAAAATATTAATAAATACTATAATAGTACATAAATAATAAAAAATTACACTGATTAAGATTTTTAAATTTACATTTGTGATT